ATAGTAGCCACGGTCGTCCGCATGCCACGAAGTGAAGTGTCCGAACGTCATAGGGCGGGAAGCTGGGTGTGGGTGGTGGCGAAGAGTCGTTTGGAAATTTGGTAGAGCTTGAACCGGCCCCCCCACAAAGTGGGGGTATTGCCCGCCTCCTATGAAAACCCTGGCACTGGTGAGAACGGAGTGTCCCCAGTCTTAAATGATTGTTGTTGTTGTTGTTGTTGTTGTTGAATTCTCAGTTCTGAAGAATAATTTTCGTTGACGCCCCCCGCGGGTCCATGCTGTTTTTTCTCAATCGAAGTGCGCCCTCGACGCTCGCGCCTTGTTTTTTGAGAGGGAAAAACTTCCTGCTCAAACTGGGCCCTTGGCCCCCGGTATACGACAGCAACGGCTCTTCCTTGCAATTTTGCCAGGACCCCCGCTCACGCCCGAGACGCCCTCGCATTTTATTCAGGAATCGCGGTCTCGCTTGGGACTTCCTTACAATTTATCCAGGAGTGGCTCTCCTGGCGCTCTGGAGTCGCGCTCTCGCTGGAGACTTGCTTGCAACTTCTTGCAGAATGGCTTTGCGTTGGAATTTCATGCGCTTTGCCCAGGCGCCGCGATCCCGACACCCAGGCGCCCAGGAGTCGCGCCCGTTGTGGCCCCATGTGCATGCCCTTCGTGGCCCCGCTGTGGCCATTTGTGTCCCCTCACTGTCCTACGTGGCCCAGTTGCTACCCTCGGTGGCCCCATAGTTGCCTTCTGTGGCCCCGCATTATCTGCACTTCGTGGCCCTCGCTCGTTCGCGCTCTTCGTGGTCCCATGCGCATTCCTTTCGTGTCCCCGCTGTCGCCGTTCGTGGCCTACTTTGTGCCCTTCGTGGCCCTGCTGTCGTTCTCTCTCGCTCTCGCTTTCGCTCGTCGTCACCGTCGTCGTCGGCGTCGCCGTCGTCTTCGACGTCGTCGTCGTCGTCGTCGTCGTCGTCGTCGTCGTCGTCTTCGTCGTCGTCGTCGTGGGCGGTCCCCTGTCCGTCCCTCTTGGGGTCGGGTCGACGGCCCGCGGCCGTCCCGCCGATCAGCGCTGCCGCTGGCCAGGCCGACGGTCCGCGGCCGCCCCGCCGCTTGCCGGGGCCCGGACTGCAGGGAAGAAAGGTATACCCCCCAAAAGGGGTTCGATCGAAGACGAAGAGGGCGGGTGTCGAGGGTTTGGGAAATACGCGTTATGGGACACTCGAGCATATGAGGGCGATCAGTCTTAAAATTCTTATTGTTGTTGTTGTTGTTGTTGTTGTTGTTGAACATTATTTATTCTAAAGAATAATTATTGTTGGGCCCCCTGGTGCGCGCCCCCCCTGCGCCGCCTAGGCCGCAGCTACATTTTCATCATTTTCGTGAGGAAGCCTCAGAAAAGAGGGTGTGTACAGGATCCGGTTGTTTTGTTGTAATCCGCTTTCCCTTGCAAAAAACAATAGAAAATGACATTTCTTGTTCTAATATAATCAAATTTCAAGAATCCCTTGCAAAAAATAAGGTAAAGTGGACATTCGCGCGCGCAAGACGAAATCCTTCCAAAACCTTAGTGTTCGCAGCGATTTTAACATAAAAACATCAAAAAACCAATGGTTTTTCAACAAAAAACTGTCAAAATCTCATCCCGCGCGCTCTTGCGGATTCGTAGGAAACCCAACACTTTTTAAACATTTCTGTCAAACGGGCTTTTGCGAGCAACTTTTTCGAACTTCTGCGACAACGGTTGCGCACCTGCCAGGGCCATCATCCCTGTCAAATAATACCATGCGGGACACATTTGTTTTTTCTTCGCGCGCGCACGCCGAAATCTCAAAAAACCATTGGGCTTCTTAAGAATTTTAGCACCGCCATCGGGACATCGGCACAACCATCAGGACAACGCGGCGACATCGGGACAACGATCGGGACAAGCACAACCATCAGGACAACCATCGGGACAATCATCGGGACAACGATCGGGACAACCACAACCATCAGGACAACCATCGGGACAACCATCGAGACAACCATCGGGACAACCATATCCTCTCTCTCTTGTGTATTCCCACATCCCTCAGGAAATTGCCCTAAAGATGTGATCAACTATCTTGTGAGTACGTATCATGTGTATCATGTGTATCATGTACCATATGCATCATATGCAACAGATGTTCTGTGGAAGGCTTAACAACTTTTGTGGGTTAACAAGGCTTAACAACTTCTGTGGGTGTACGAACGTAGGCTTAACAACTTCTGTGGGTGTGTACTCCACGCCAGTGTAGTAGCCACGGTCGTCCGCAGGCCACGAAGTGAAGTGTCCGAACGTCATAGGGCGGGAAGCTGGGTGTGGGTGGTGGCGAAGAGTCGTGTGGATATTTGGTAGAGCTTGCACTGCCCCCCCACAAAGTGGGGGTATTGGCTGGCGTCGCATGAAAACCCTGGCACTGGTGAGAACTCTGAGCGTTCGGGTAAAGTGATTGTTGTTGTTGTTGTTGTTGTTGTTGTTGTTGTTGCTGTTGCTGTTGTTGTTGTTGTTGTTGTTGTTGTTGTTGTTGTGGAAAGCGTGTTTTTTAGTATGATTTGAGATTTTGTTGGTGTGAGTACCGAACTGGGAGCGGCGGCTAGGCGACCGCGCCCGGTGCCGCGGAGACCTATGTGGATTTCACCCATGGGCGCCAAACCCGGGCGGGGCCACGAAACGTGTGGGGGTGACGGAATGGACATGCGGCAGGGAGGGGAGGGTTTGGGCGAACAGTGAACTGCGGCGCGTCGCTGCTGATTCCAAACGAGGACCCAACTCAACTTCGGAGCACCGAAGGAACATAGCTGCCTGCCAGCGCGCCCAGATCGCATAGTCGGCGCGCCAGCGCTGCCAGCAGTCAGCATTTGCGCGGGCGCGTACATGGGACTGGACGTCCTTCCCCAAAAGTGGGGCGAAGCCGAGCAGTCATTGCTCATCACGTACTATTTTCAGTCATCGGCAGAAGCGTGCCCGTATGTACCCTTTGATCCCCGCCTGTTGGGGCTAATTCCTCACCTCATCTCGTGCGCGCCCGCTAGGGGGTGGTGCACTTCCCGCATGGCGGTTAATTCCTCCACCTCTCATCTGGTTCGCGCCCGCTGGGGCATCGTGCGCTTGCCGCATGGCGTCTAATTCTTAGACTCTCATCTCGTGCGAGCCCGCTGGAAGATTTTGCACTTCCCGCATGGGTGCGAATTCCTGAGCCACTCACTTCGCGCACGCCCGCCAAGGGGTGGCGCGCTTTCCGCGCGGCGGTATTTCCCAAACCTATCAGTCCACGTCCGCCCTCTTGAGTATCGTTCACTTCCCGCGGATCTGCTAACCCTTCAGCTGCACTCACCCCGCGCGCGCCCGCGCGAGGATGGCGCACTTCTCCCGCAATCCCAAGCGCTGCCCCCAATCGCCGCAGGCGGCTCCAAGACACCCCCAGCGATCTCAAACGCTCGCAAGCGCTCGGATTGCGCCCCCGACCGCCCCCAAACGCTCCCAGGCGGCGCCGAAAGCCCCCAGGCGCTCTCATAAGCCCCACGAGCGTTTTAAATTGTTCCCAGGCGCCTCCAAACGTCCTTCCATGTGTCGCCCTCGTACGCTTTCACGCACGCGCGCGCAAGGTCATTTCAGGCGCCCAGAAGGGCTTCCGGCAGCCCGCCTGCCACGTACACCGTGACCCAGATGGCTGGTCCCGCCAGCAAGCAGATCGGCAGATGTATGGACTTGCGTCTGAGATGGGTATCTCAGGCTTTCGAGAAGGGGCCTCGAGGGAGTCACGTCTCTTCCTCGGCGGACGGCGGCGGATGGGCGGCGGAAGGCGGTGGAAATGAAACGGGGTGGCTCCGCGGGCAGAAGGCCGCGCAAGGCCGGCGGAAACCATCGGAAGTTAAGATTGCTTCCCGAGGAGCTGACAAGGTCTATCAATCAGCATCTCGAATCAGCAGTCGATCCAGGGCTTTGAGGGAGTTTCGGTGTTCTCGGACCCATCCTGGACAAATGTTCGGGGTAGGTCTGTCCTGGAGGAGGAGGAGACTAGCAAGGAGCACGTGTCCCGGGTTCAGTTCGTGCATGACCTCATCGGTTTCGCGGTGTTCGAGAGCTTCGATCGTGTATCGGAGCACCTCCAGTTCCTGAAGACAGTGGTCGAGGCCGGTGGCATGACGATGCATGTGCCCAAGTTAGAAGTGCTGATAGTATCGTCGGGGACAAGGTTAAAAAAAAAAACACCGCAAAGACATCACCATCAAAACCGCGTGGGTGACCATGAGAAACTCCGCGGGCCGCAACGTCATGGTCCATGCTCAGAAAGCTGTCAAGTACCTGGGGGTTCGTATTCGGGACGACGGCTCGATGGCCGACGAACTTCAACAACGTCTCAAAGGAGCTAACGCTGCCCACGGTCGCCTTTCCCAAAGTGCATTCAAGGGTAACGTCAGCAGTCGCCTCAAGGTTAGGCTTTGGACTTTGCTATTTTGTTCTATTGCCCTCTACGCTATGAACATTGCGATCCTCGCGCAGACGGAACTTCAGAAACTCGAGCGTTGGCAAACTAAGAGGTTACGTCACCTTCGCCGATCCCCTGTCCATATACGACATGTTCCTAACGAGGCGATTCGACGTAAGGCGAATGTCCATTCAGTGTCGTCGACGCTGTTGTTCCGAAGACTGAGGTGGTGGCAGTGAGTGATCTCCCCTGGACCTGCCCCCCCAGGAAACCGAGTATGACCAGACGAACGCGGTGAGAGCGGTTCTCTTCGGACGCCTGAGCTTTGAGAGAATAGTCGTGCCCAGGAGGCCTGTGGGGAGGGTCGCGCTCTTGCACCAGGACCTCCACGTATTGTGGTCATCGCTCTCTGCCTCACAACGGACTGGAGCCCCTGAAGCCCCAGGACAAGCTCCCGAGGTCTCGAAACCATTGCTTATTTGGTTCTGCGGCTTGGAGTTGCGTGATCTTCGGGCGGTTCTCTGTTTTCGAGCGGAGTGCGACTTGGGGCCTGCAGGGGAGGAACGTCCAGACGGCACCATATACGAGGTGCTTCGATGTCCTGAGTGAGAAGGAAGAGAAGGACGAGCTCTCGGAGGCAGGACCCAATTACCAGCTGACCCTGGCGATGGCCAAGCTGGTTCTTCAGCGCAAGGACGACCTGCGCAACCAAAGGCGCGACGTGAACGTGGTTCTTGTCCAGCGCGCAGACACGAAGCTCCAACTGGCTCTCGAGGAGGGCGTCGGCAAGTACAACCAGGCGGGCAAGGAGGCGAGAGACAAACGACGGACGAGTTCAATTGCCACCCGTGGGGCAAGGGCCCAGACGCGCTGATGAAAATGGTGCTCTTCCGTGTGTCGGAGGCCCCGAGGAGCAACGGGGAGGCGATGAATGCGGCCATCGCTCAGGGCCCCAAACCAGAAGCCACGGTCTTGGCGGTGAAGACCATTATCGAGTTGGGCTCCAAAGTTCAGGATCGCGACGCGATCTTCCACGCAACCCGTTGTTTCGTGATCGCGTCGGAGGACGCGGAGGGCAATGCAGTGAAGAAGTGGATCTTCGCGATCATGCGCCACCGTCAGCTCCACCAGACCTTCGAGACCCTGAGGGGCAACGGAGGCGGTCGGGCCGTGGGGCTGCAGTTCGAGCGCGACGCAGCGCCGCGCAGCCAGGCAGCCACGAAAGTAGAGAAGTTGGCCTTCCGCGAGGGCAAGGGGGCCAAGGGCAAGCGCAGGGCGAAGCGTCAGAAGAACTTGAGGGCTTCGGCGAGGCCCAGTAGCTCGCATCAGACGGTTTTGACAAACATTTGTATTCGCTCATCTCGAGGGGGTGGCACGTAACGCTTGCGGGGTTTTGTGGGCTCCGTGTGTGGCCGACGGCCCTCCTGGGCCCAGGGGGGCTCGGGGGGTCCTCCTCGCAGTGCCACCCCTTCAGAAAACGGGGTGCGCGAGGCGGGGGTCGAAGCGCCTCCTGCGCTCCAGGGTTAGCCGGTCCTGGGCTCCGATCGAACTAACTTCGGTTGCGCCGATGCTCGCCTTGTTAAGGCTTCGGTCGACAGTGTTACTAGCCCAGCACTAGGCGCCCATGGCTGCTGACAGGAGGGGGCGGTGTTTTCCTTATTATTGTTTTTTTTTGTGCGTGTGTGTGTGTGTGTGTGCGTGTGGGGGGGGAAGTGAAACTGGGCGGCTCCCCGGGCAGAAGTCCGCGCAAGGCCGGTGGAAACCGTCGGAAGTTAAGATTGCTTCCCGAAGAGCTGACACGGTTTTTTGGTTCGGAATTTTTTGAACTCGCCACCTACGGTGGCTGGGAGGTGAGCGCCGCGGCAGCGTCAACCGCTTCAAATACGTTGCGGCGCGCGCCGCGTTTGTTTCTAAAGCCTGAACCCTGAACTGAAATGCGGCTCCTTGGGAGGGTGGGGTGCCGATTTCGAACGCTCTCGGCGGCGGGGGGCGAGCGATGGTCGAGCCGGCAGGTAGATCTCAGGCCGACGCCCGTGCTGCGCTTTCCGAACAAGAGAAGAACCGCTCACTGGGACTATTGCTGGCGCCGTTCCCTCTTGGCCCCCAGGATGGGATGAACCCTCCAGAGGAGCTTGGAGCGCCTGGAGCGCTCGCGGGAGCGCCTGCAACGCTCGGGAGAGCTTGCTGACGTCTGGGGAGCGCCCGGGTAGGGAACAAATATCCCGGAAGAAAGAACAACTGAACAGCGATGAGTATATGCATATCTGGAAGAATTGCCCTTAATATTCAGGTGAGAATCCAGTTGTAGAGTTCCGCTGTTCTCGGAGTCGCAGTCACATTCGCAATGACAGTCGCAGTGGCAGCGGCCTTAGGATCCAATGGAATCCTAAGGATTCCGAGGGATTCCTAAGGCATCCTGAGGCACCTTTAGGAATCCATAGGAATCCCAAGGAAACCTTCGGAATCCTTCAGGAATCCTGGTTCTTAGGGATTCCTAGGGATTCCTCGGCATTCCTTGGGGATCCTTAGGATTCCTACTTGAGCCTGCCGCGGCCTCAGCCTCAGCCTGCCTTAGCCTCAGCCTGCTTCAGCCTCAGCCTCAGCCTGTCTCAGCCTCAGCCGGCCTCAGCATCAGCCTCGGCCTCAGCCTCAGCCCGCCTCGGCTTGCCTCGGCCTCAGCCTCAGCTTGCCCCGGCCTCAGCCTCAGCCTCAGCCTGCCTCAGCCTCAGCGTCGGCCTCTCAGCCTCAGCCTGCCTCAGCCTCAGCCTCAGCCACAGCCTCAGCCTCAGCCTCAGCCTCAGCCTCAGCCTCAGCCTACCTCAGCTTCAGCCTCAGCCTCAGCCTGCCTCGGCATGCCTCAGCCTCAGCCTCAGCCTGCCTCGGCCTCAGCCTCAGCCTCAGCCTGCCTCAGCCTCAGCCTCAGCCTCTCAGCCTCAGCCTGCCTCAGCCTCAGCCTCAGCCTCAGCCTGCCTCAGCCTCAGTCTCAGCCTGCCTCAGCCTCAGCCTGCGTCAGCTTTAGCCTCAGCCTGCCTCGGCCTCAGCCTGCGTCAGCCGCAGCCTCAGCCTGCCTCAGCCTCAGCCTGCGCAGCCTCAGGCTCAGCCTGCCTCGGCGTGCCTCAGCCTCAGCCTCAGCCTGCCTCGGCCTCAGGCTGTCTCGGCCTCAGCCTGCCTCAGCTCGGGCATTCAAAGTATGGCACAGGACTAGTGTTCTGGGAACACGAAGATCACGAAGTGGCCCACAGTTGGCTCTGGGCATTCAAAATTTGGTACAGGAGTGGTGTTCTGGGAACACGAAGAACACGAAGTGGCCTACAGTTGGCTCCGGGCATACAAAATGTGGCCTGGGAGTGGTGTTCTGGGAACACGAAGAACACGAAGTGGCCTAAAGTTAGCTCTGGGCATTCAAGATGTGGCCTGGGAGTGGTGTTCTGGGAAGACGAAGAACACGAAGTGGCCTACAGTTGGATCCGGGCATTAAACATGTGTCCTGGGAATGGTGTTCTGGGAACACTATTCCCACCACTCCGCCCAGACCCCCCTCGGGAGTCAAGATGCTCTCTTTTGAGCCCACTAGAAACCTATCAGTCTTCGCTGCTAGGTAATATGGCACCATGCGGGAGGTGAGCGCCCGGGGGGATCACAGCCCCACAGGCGGGAGGAGAGCACCTGGCGGGAGGGGGGGAGCGCCAGACGGGATGATATCATTGAGCGAAAGGAAAACACCTGGTGGGAGGAGAGCACCACATTGGAGGACAGCAAAAGCCAGGAAGAGACCACGGGCGGGAGGGAAAAAGACCAAACGGAAAACAGACAGTAGACCAGGATGGAGCAGCAGGCGGCGGGAGGAGACCACCAGGTGGGTGGAGAGAACCGGGGTGGAGGAGAACACCAGGCAAACTGAAGGCAGCAGGCGGGAGTTGAGCACGGGGCGGGAGGAGAGCACGACGCGGAAGGAAAGCAGCAGGCGAGAGCAGGGCACCAGTCCAGAGGCGAGCACCAAACGCGAGGAGAGCACGAGTCCGGAGGAGAGCAGGATGCTGCTGCCTGCGGCCCACTGCGGCTCCCTGCGGAGCCTCTCACGGCTGCCCGCGGGTCCTGGTGGACAGAGTCATGTTTGGATCTTCTGCGCAGAGGGCGAACCATCCGGTCCAAGTGTGAGCAAGTAGTGCCACGCGCCCTCCTCCCGCCTCCGAAACCGTTGCCCCCTCTTCATCCTTGCCGTTTGCCGCCATCGTCGTCGCCGTCGCCGTCGCTGTCGTCCGGCATCTGTCATCTACTGTCTGTCGTTTGTCAGTCGCCGACGCTTTCGCAGTTGCCGTTGCCGTCGCCGTCGCCGACGCCGTCGTTGCCGTCGTTTGTGCCCAGTTTTCTCCCGCGCCCGCTCGCTCAGCCGACCGCGTCTGCCCTCGCGCCGCCTGGGGCGGTGCTATGGCGGCAAAGAAGCCTGGCGCGTCACCGTTAGGGTCGCCCGCAGCGCTGCAGCACCGATAGTGGTCGACGAGAGTGAATCTTCGCCGGAGTAGCTCTTGGTGCTGGCCCACCGGGGTCGGGGGCGACGAGGGGGGCGAATTTCTCAGGGGAGAGTAATACACGTATCCAGCGGCTCCGACGGTCCATGCCTTCGGCGAGGCTCCCAGGCGAGAACGTGTCATGCCCGCCCGTGGGCTCTCGCCCCCCTCGCCTCCTCCGATGGGGTCCCCAGGTCGCTGAATGCGATGCGACAGCAGCGGCTTGCTCCTTCGGATTTTGCTGACCCGCGCCACCCTGAGGAGCCACGCGCCAAGGGTCAGTTTTGTCTGGGGCCACTCCTTGCGTGTGGCCGATTGGCTCAGCAGTGAATCGTGGGAGCCCTGTGTGCCCTCGTGATTCCGTCCTCAGAGTGCGTTAGCGCCGATTGGCGTTTGGCAATCGGTGAGACAGTGCCGATTTGGTGTCGATTGGCGTCGATTCGCAAGGGCCGACAGGATGGTATGGGAGGTTCCCATGAGTTGCCGCAGAAGATCGAGGGGGGGTCGGCGCGCCGCAGAGGGGGCTGGTCCGCAGCGGTGCTCTTCCTGAGGTTGGTTTGCTGCATGTCTTTGAGAGAAGTCGCGCCTGTCAGAGGAATATTGGAGACACTCTCCTCTGCGAACGTCGGGGGGCTCCAAAATCTCCGATCTGCGGCCTTCACTCGTTCAGGTGCCTCCTCGGGATAATCCCGTGGTAGCCTCTTGGGGCTTCATTCGATAGTCTAAGAGTAAGTTTTTGCAGCACGGGCGATGAGTCAGCAACTACAAAGTATTTGAGTTGGGCATCTCGGGGGCATTACTGAGAGTTCTCGTGGCCATCTCGAGCAGTCTTGGAGCCATGCTGGATGCCATCTTAGACTCTGTTGCGTCATCTCCGAGGTCATCTTGGGCCAGGGCCAGCTTGGAGCCGTCAGGGGCCAAATGCAGGCCCTTCGACACCTCGCGGCCCCCACCAAGCAGAAGGCCAGGGTTAAGCGATGCTGGCGCATAGCCCCCTCTCTTCCACGGTTGCGAACGGCACGGCCAGCAAATGCAGGTGTGGAAGTGCCAGCGGACGGGGTTACACGAACCAGCCCATCGAATGACAAAATTCCAGACGTGTTGCGCGCCTCCACGAGCCCATCCAGAAACGATGCCTATGCGAGTTGCATTGGCTAAGAAAGCGTGCCAGCACGCAGTGAAACAAAGAGGGGGTGTACCGTCAAAGCGAAGTTTTGGATGGGCGTGGCCAGACCCAGCAGTCAACCACATATGCCTTCGCGGCCCTGTCGAATGACGGGGACGGATGAGGCGGAGGCGGGATGAGGGAAAGGAGGGAGAGCAAGACGTGGGTGAGAAGGAGGACCGATAATGAGTAGGAGAAAGGCAATCAGGAGGAAGATAAGGTTGACAAAATACGTTCCCACCCAACTTCTGGTAAATTTGGCGGGAGGAGGAGGAGGAGGGAAATGAGGGCGATGAGAAGCATGATGATGATGATGAGGTTGATGGTGATGATGATGCTTGTGATAGTGATGATGATGCTACTGATGATGATGACGATGATGGCAACGATGATGATGATGATGGTGGTGATGATGCTGATGATGATCAAGATACTGCTGCTGATGATGATGATGAGGATGCTGATGCTGGTGATACTGATGATGATGATGATGATGCTAGTGATTTTGATGATGATGATGATGATGATGATGCTGGTGAGGACGAGGATGAGGAGGATGTGGACGATGATGAGGATGCTGATGCTGATGCTGATGCTGATGCTGGTGCTGCTGATGATGATGCTGA